ATGTATGTGTATATATATATATATATATATATGTACATATCAGTGTTTTGCATTGAGTTGAAATAATAATCCTCAAGTATTAACTTACAAATTTCAGAAAAAATGAATTATTATTGAAAAGGTAAATATATATAATTAATTTTCTTATAAAATGTAAAACAATTCTTATTTTGCTTATTTTGTAACAGTTATTAAATTTAAACTGAAATGTTGTTACTTTCCACAAAGTATTAGTGAACGATGAATTTAAATCCATATATTAAAAGTTGCTTTTATTATTCTGATTGCAGTCGACAACTCCCATCTCAGAGATAAGTTTTCTTAAATCGTCCATGACACATGTTCGTTTATGTTTTACTCTTTGACTCTTTAGATTTTAACGTATCTGATGTTTGGAACAATGACAAGAAAAGAAAGAGAAAGAAATAGAGTGGGCAGGGCTCTTTCTTACTGTTGTTTCCGACTTCACCCCGATTTTGCTCATCCCGCCTCCTGCTGGACTTTGAAACAACTTTCATTTGTTTTTCTCCATCTTAATCCTTCTGACATTTGATTAATGACTGCCCTTATTTGTTTCGCTTGCAAGAAAATGGACAACCATGGATGCAGATTGCAGCTTACTAATCTTGATATTAGAAATACGTTCACTCTTGTAGATAAATTCCTATAAAAACTTACTCTGTGTAGTTTATTTTTATTTTGAAAATGATGTATGTGCTTTTGAATTTACAGTCAGCAAGATAAAAACAAACATAACATTTGATTTAAAGATCCAATTTAAATATTTATTAAAAGCAAAAACAACTTTTTTGTTGTTTTCAGAGAAATAAAATTCTTAAACCAAATTCTGAATTGAAGGAGATATGAAAATTATTTTTTTTCGAAGAGTAAAACTACTTATTGTCATTCTCTATCGATTAATTACAGTTTGTTTGTACATGTTTTATGTTAAATGTTATGTTACAAGTTACATGTTTTTCATATCTGAAGTAATTCGACAAACCATTTGTACTGTAGAAAAAAATAATAAACCAAAGTTTACTTTGAAACAATATGTTTAAAAATTCAATCATATTATGTTTGAATATCAATATATCCAGAATATTTAGAAAAATATTAAACTGATTTATATAATACTTTGAATTTACATTTGTAAACTATGTACACAATAAAATGTACATAATTTGTATCGGTATTTGTATTTTTTACCTAAGTATAAAAATCTAGAAGACTCTTTTTTATATATTTCGTTTCGATTACACTAGTTGTATAACTATATAAAGGAGTTTTTGGTTAGACAACTAGATTTGAAAATTTGGTTTAAGCACTGAAAAAGTTAAAAAATATAATCTAAAAAGTCACGAGATTTTTATTGTTGTCCAGGAAAACCTTTTTAAAAACATTTTTTTAGAATGCAACAAACGCTTTTAGATTGCGACCAACGTTAGAGCTTTTATACTACATATCGTAAGTTAAATATAGGAGTTCTGTGTTCAAAGTTAAATTGATTCTAACCGACGAAATTGACGCTCCTTTCAAGACAATACCACATAAATGATTTTAACCACTTGCGCTGGCAAAAAAAATCACTGACGCGTGTGCCAGAACGGTCCAGTATAACTCGCTGGGAGGCGTCACGTAGTGTGCGATGCCTCAGATAAATCGGAAAAAAGATTTATACCTTCTAAACTAATTTATTGTTAACCTAGAATTTTTTATAGTCCTTTGAAGGGAAAGTGGAACATCGGTTGATAGTAAAATTATACAAATATGAATATTAAATTTATTTATTTATTAATAATCATGCAACGTGTGATATCTTTCAAAACAGTCTGGGGCATGCAATGATACAAGGCATTTCTTACATTCCCATACAGTTTCACTTCGCCTTTTGTGTTTGGTACACACTCCACACCTTCGCTGTGGACAACATCACAGACAACAATCCACCTGACAACAATTCCACCTGACGTGACACGCATGTCGTTTTTGTTTCTGTAACAATTCTATGATGACGTAAATACCACGTCGTCTGTGATTCTGTGACAAAAGCATTATGACGTGCGTGGCACATCTTTCCAGCGCATGTGGTTAAGAAAAATGGCATAGTTGCCAATGTAAAAAGAAAGTAATAGTAAGAAGCGAAACCACGTTTCACGTGGTGACGGCAGTGACAAATTACTGCGAGGTAGCATATAAGTGATCAACAAAGTGACCAATCAGAGACCAACAAAAATAAATAAGGACAGGATACAATTGCAAAAGGCGTTGCTCAGAACTAGGATCTCTTACCGGAAACTAGATATTCATATTACTTAATCAAGACTTGAGGACCTCAAAATTATTTTTATTTTATTTTCAAGTACGTGTTTTGCTTGAGTTTGCAAAAAAATTAAATAAAATAGGCTCATCAATATTGCAGAGTTGAATAAAATAATTTTGTAACAATTGGATCTAAGAAAAACACTAAACTTCCTTTATTGCCTTTCTCTATCACCGCAAATGCCAAAAGACTACTGACCCTCAAGTTTAGGTTATTCAATACAATGCAAAACACAACCATAATTTAGACACAAGAGAAAAGCATAGGATTATTCGTTCCACAATCATAATATAATATTTAAAATTTCTCCAAAAAATTTAATAAAATAGGTTCATCGAAATTGCAGAATTTAATAAATTTTGTACATAAAATCAATTTTATAATAATTGGATCTAAGAGAAACAGTAAACTTCCTTTATTGCTTTTCTCTATCGCCACAGATGCCAAAAGACTACTGACCCTCAAATTTAGGTTATTCAATACAATGCAAAACACATTCATAATTTAGACATAAGAAAAAAGCATTTTATTGAGCCATGTAGGCAAAAACATTTTATTCGAAATCATCTCACAAGCGAAAACCAGTTTGAAAGAACGTCTCGGAAGAGATATGCCAACATAGAATGTTTTTTATTCTTTTTCTTTTTTTAAATGTTATCTCATTGTTCTTCTGCATCGACTTGGTGATATAAGCTCCAGTTGTTATCTTGGCTGTCTTCCAGAACTTCATTTTTATAATTTCTGAATCAAATATTTCAGTAAACAAGAATATCGGCTTTTGGTGTCAGAGAATCTATTCGGAAAAAAAGCACTTATGATATTGGGTATTTTCGAAAAAAATACAAACTCATACAGTATTATTGTTGATAAAGGCTTGAATAGTTCAGCGAAAATGTGAAAATAGTCTTGGAAAATAATGTTAAGTTTTATTTTGTGTTTCACTAACATTAGTTTGTTTTTTGAAAGCAAAATTTGCATTTTTCGCGAGAATTACTTTGAATTTTGCAAGAATTACTTTGATTTTTCACAAGAATAAATTTGATTTTTGGGAGAATAACTTTTATTTCAGCAAGTATTGCTTTACTTTTGTAAAAACTACTTTTACTTTGCAAGCTTTATCTTGATTTTTGCAAGTATTACTTTTATTTTCAATAGAATTTTAATAGAAGTATTCTTCTTTTATAATTCTAAATATTGAAGCATACTTCTATTTTTGAAAGAACAACTTTGATTTTCGCAAGAATTTTTTTGATTTTCAGAATTACCTTTACATTTTCAAGCGTTATTTAGATTTTTGTAAGTTTACTTTATTTTCTGAAAGCTTTGATTTGATTTTTGAGAGTATTGCTTTTATCTTTACAAGAATTGCTCTCATTTTTATAAGAAATGCTTTTATTTTCGCAAGGGAAAATTTTATTTCCTTGAGAGTTACTTTGATTTTTGTAAGAAATACTTTTATTTTCGGAAGAATTACTTCAATTTTTGTTTTAGAATTACTTTTATTTTCTTTAGATTAACAGTGTTTATTCACAAGAACAACTTTTAGTTTCATAAGAATTACCTAAGATTTTGTAAAAATTTATTTTATTTTATTTATGAAGTAATTACTTTTTTGCAAACATTACTTTTATTTTCTCAAGTATTGATATTATTTTCGCAAACATGCGCTTGACTTTTGCTATCTAAACGTAATCTTCCAATTTTGATAAAAATCAATTGGATTCAAGTAAATTGGAAGTTTGAATTGTATGTTCAAAGAGTTAATTAAATAATGGTTTGCATCATACATGTGTAGCAACCAACAAGTTTATTTCAAAGGCAAATTAATTTTAAAATTGATTGAGACTTATATTCGGTGAAACTGAGCTAATTCGGGCATAATTTTGGAATAATTCTTTGAAAAAAAAAACTTTACCAGTACATATCTTCAACGAAAATGTTTCTATTATGAAACTGTCTAAACTTATAAATGAACTGATTGCACTGAGTTTTGCTCCTTTTAAAATTGTGTGTGTGGACAAAGGTCTTTAGCAAAACGGGAATATGCAGTTATTTGCTTAAATTGGAGGTAAAGCATTCTAAAGGTTTTAATTTTATTGCACAACCCAGCAATAGCATCAACGTTTGAAACTTACAAGACCTTTTTTTCTACAGTCGATATGCTAAAAGACCATATGCAGGAAGACAGAAGGAGTTAAAGTCACAGTTGTGATTGCAAATACAAATATCCAGGAAAAAAACACTTGCATTGAAGCTGTGTTTGTTCTCTTCATTGGCTTCTTCCTCTTAATTTTGGTCAGATTAAGACTCAAAATCATCTAATGCCGTTATCTTGTTACTTGCGTTTGAGTTTGTTAGTCTAATTGCTGCTGTAGTTGTCCTAGACTCAGACGTGTCATCGCTAGTTATGTCATAGAATTTCATAAATACATATAAACATCCAACCTCTTTCTTTAGCTTTGCTTTTTTGCATAGATTCTAACAGCATTTACATTTCTTTCCTAAATATATTCTATATTCTGTTGCAAGTTAAGAAAAAACGGTTAGCATTATGGCTAGAGCCTTTTTGCATCGAAGTGCACACCAAATGAATGTCAACCTCCCAACGCAAACGTATAGATACCAATATCGCCAACTCTTCAAATACCGTTGAATAGATTCCTTTTCACTTGATTTCTTAATAATTATAATAACTGTTGTTAACAACAGTATTCAATTAACAAGTAATAAAAATTAATAAAAATGATATCTAAAAATTGTGAAAAATATAGGTCTTCTGTTAGCAATTACAGAAACTGATAAAGGAATAATAGATATTGTTTCTTGCAGACGATGTTTTCTACAGCGAAGCAAAAGTAATTTCTTTAATCTCGCATTCGATTAGTTTAGAGCACGTCAGCATAAGAAGCGTCATTTATAATGGTCTAACCAAATCCAATGTTCTTGCAATGCCATATAGTTGTTTCGTTTTCGAGAACAAATAATCTTGTTAATCGAAACATGTCGCCAAGTCTAGGATTTTAGTAAAGCTACGAAACTATAACCTTTTTTTAATAATTCTACAATATATATCGTAAGAGATAGCACTAATTAAATTTCTATCTGGCGTGCTTAACTTTTAAAAGATTTTATATGGTTTTGAAAGCATGCTTGTACAACTTGATCAAGAAATAAAGCTGAACTATATACAATCCCTGATGATTACTTTAAGTCCCATGCCGAAACGGATTTTTCTTAACTTTCCGCTAAGTATAATGTAAATAGGTAGAATATTTTAAAGTAGAATTTTTTAATCCTACTTTGAAATGCATTTAATCTGTCACTTTAGTTTCTACTCCAGCATGTGTAGCTAATATTTTTCTAAAATACATCAATATTATGATTCTACTAAATTTCATTTAAGTATTATTTCGTGAACTAAAAATAATTAAAAAAGAGAAGTTTAAAACAAACTTTAACTTGTAAGCATTTCAAACATTTAAATTCACTTTATTTAAATAAGATATTTGAATTATTTAAGGCTATGTAAAATAGCGTAATTTCTTTTTTCAAATTATTTAAAATAATTTAATTTCATTTTTTTTCAATTTTTTTAAAATAATTTAAGTAGTTTAGATATTTTTTCATTTAAATTTAAATAAATAATGCAAAAATAATTTTCATAAGGGTATTTATCCTACATTATAAATCAACATCATTTTTTTGTACGTCAAAAGTTTTTTACTCAACACCTGTCTTTCTATTCATATTAATAGTTACTTTCTTTAAATTTTGTCTAGTAAAATGTAGTAACTTTTACCTTATTTTATACATGTTCAATTATTTTACAAATTATAAAACTTAAAATCAATTATATTGATAAGTAG